GGGCCACTACGTTATATCATTTGATTTATAACAATTAAGCTTTCTTAGGAAATAGAGATCATCTGTGCTGTTCTGCTCTTTTATCTGCTCCCTATTTTTCAATGTCATTAGCTTGTTGAAATAAGTTAAATTGAAATTATTTTAATTATAGGCATGCATTTTCTAAGTATTATTCGTTATTCTAATTTAATATTCTCTTTGCTTTAACAACTCAATAGTCTGTACATACAGAGCTGATTTGGAAATAACTCTTATAATAGGTAATCTGTTGTTCTCTGTCTGTTGAGACATCACTTAGTGATTTTATTTGGAGCTTTACCATGTCTAGTGCCTTATGATTCTTTTCTTGAAGATAGTATTTATGATGTACAGATGAGAGGTTTCTGTCCATGAGATTTTGGCCTCTTTCATTTCTTAATCCTGAACCATATTTTCAAAAACATTTTTGTTATCCTTCCCTATGGCTATCTGAAGTATATATTTTTTCAATTGAAGCATCTTACTTAGTTTTTTTGTAGAACTTCTCTAAATTTCTCATCCTTTACAACATATATTAGCACATAAACTTCAGTTACTCTCATAGTGGTGCTTTTCCAGATGCTCACCACAAGCACCTACAATATAAAATGACCAGGTGTTTCCTGAAATTATATTTCTTATTGCCTTTGGATGCATGATCAAGCAAACCAACTGTGCTTACTCCCTTTTCTGAAAAAAAAAATTCAAGGAGATCCTATAAGCTATCCTTCCATTTATCTGCAATTTTCTTTTGTGTTTTCATTTATAGTACAAATGTCAAGATTGATATGATTTAGTTCTTCAAGTACTATGTCAAATAGTTGATCTTTTGACAAGAATACCACTTTATAATACAACTAGCTAAGTTAATACTTATAGAAAGTAAAAAATAAAACTGTTATTCTTAACATGCTTTACCCCCTTTTCCTCTACTCCATCATCACTTCGGAAATAGAAGTGGACTCAGTACTGAGGGCCATTATTTATTTTTCTTTGTTTCATGAGTTGCTGTGGCCAACTAGTGACTAACCTAATAGTGATGAGCCTTTCTGTACTTCGATAAGATAGTCCTTGGAGAACATTGTCTGTTTCTGAGAATGGGCCAAAACCTTAACCACATGGTAGAATCTATTGGAAGTTTTACTCCACAGGCATAGTTTTTGAAAGCCTAGGGTTATCTTTATGTCTCAATGAAGTGCAATATCCAGGTGACATGAGGACTGTAGGGACTTCCATAAGGATCTCACACATCACACATAGGTACATGGACATGTAATTCTAGGTATTGGCTTCCTTACTCTATCCTGCCTTCTCAATGACAGGCCTAGCTTTCCAGATAAGGATCACCACCCATGTGTCTATACTCAAATTCCCTCAAAGTCTGAAGTGTAACCCTGTTGAGAAGAAATTCCCCTCCCTCGTAACCCAAGCTCTTAGCTCTCAATGCATTTCTATTTCCACAAACCAGCCACTTAAAACAATAACACTTTTTAGATCTTAAGCCTCACAAATACTCATATATTAAGCAAGTGCATAAAATAATCAAAATCCACACATAAAACTAGATCACATTCTCCTATCATAAAAACCCATGTGTTTGAGGTAATATAACTCTATACTGAAAGCTTTGATGTTATTGGTTCATTCAGGGATATCTGTACCACCCAAAACTGCTGATCAGCTGCTTCTCACTGCTCTCCCTTTGGGCAAATCCTCTTCTCTTTTGTACTTGATGTAGCATTTACAAGTTCTTTTGACTTACAGTCACTCTTAAAATGCATTCAGAAAGTGTTACCTCTTAATTTAGGGGGAAAAAAAAGCTTCTTTTAAACCAGAGAACTTCACATCTCATCTGGCTGCCTATCTGGCTATACAGACCAGACCAGAGCAGGCCAGACCAGACAGTTATTCAATCACTTGGACACTGAATTGTCCAGTCAGAACAGAGATCACAAAAAATGGTTCAGATTGACTCTCCAGTGCTTCTTAAACTGTGGATCAAGGTCCCATCTGGGGCCAGTTTAAGTTTTTTTGTTTAAGAAGTGCTGAAGAGGTCATGAGTGGAAAAAGTTTAAGAAGCCCTGCTCTAAACCCTACTTAGCTTTTTACTCACCGGGGTTCTGCATAGTCCAATTAAATCTCAGCATCAACCAAGCAACTGCAAAAATCTGCTTTTCCCTCTTAAAATAGGTGAGGAGAGGCAGCAGCAAAGGGCAACAGATACTTCTCAGAGTCTTCAACTCTATGGAGTGCTGAAGAGCAGTATCTGGAACAGAAGCTCTTGTCTAATGAGGGTGAACCTGTTGTCAATCAATTACAAGTCAGAAAGCTAAAAGCCTTCTGTCAGAAAGTAGCTGTTAGTATCTTTAAACACACCTCTATTATAAATGTTTTTCTGACTCTTCTTTGATTCATCAGTCTTCTGTTTCCAAGTTCATCTTTTTTTTTCAGTCCTACTTTCAGCCTTTAGCTCTGAACTCCCATACCTTTCAGTAGTTGAAATGATAACTTGGGACACCAATAACTTGCCTTTCACTTAAACAGTAAACACCAATTTCCTTTAAGAGATCAACAGAACTTATTTAATCATACCTCAGTCTCCAAATAGTTTTATCCCCTGCAGTTATAAATTCACAAGATAGTCTTCCATTTCATTTTGTGTCTTTGAAATTCTTTCTTCATACTCATATTTCCAAGTTTTTAATAAATAAAAGTTCTTTAAACCTCTTGATCAATCTATTCACATAGAGATTGGGCATCACCTTCTATCTTTTACAAGGTTGTCATTATATATATGCCAGGTTCATTTTCTGATGAAAATTGGTCAAATTCCATCTGAAAACTGTTTCTTCATATAGCAGCAATTTTTAATTAAACCAAACTTCTTTTCCTACTCCTTTTTATTGTTGTTGAGTTCTTTCCAGTTGTGTCCAACTCTTCCTGACCCCATTTAGGGTTTTCTTGGCAAAGATACTGGACTGGTTTACCATTTCCTTCTCCAGCTCATTTTACAGATGAGGCATCAAACTGTTCATCTGTGCCAGAGGCAGTGTCTTAAATCATATACCTGTTGATATAACTCTTTACAAATAAGTATTTTTTCTACCCTTCTCAGCACTAAACTTCTCCATATGAAAAGGTCCTTAAAGTAACAGTACCAGAAATATAGTAGGGGTTTTGCAGAGATTAATTACATTCTCATTAAAATAAGGTAAAAGAATATAAGGAAGAGAATCAGATTCAACTAGATTGAAGTGAAATACATAGTTATTAAAAAGTGAGACAAATTTTAAAAAGTCATAGAACATCATTACTGAAAGACACTTTAAAATTCATCTAGTCCTACTGCTAATCAAGATCTCACCAGGTATTATGTTCCAAATGGTGGGCAGGGTGCAGGTAAGAAGCCCCAAGAACAGAGCAAAAAAGAAGCATTTGTTTACCAAGCCCAAGCTATGTTATTTTGTTGGTAATCAATTAATAGAATATTGGAAGAAGGAGATACAGGTACAAAGTACCAAGAAAAGAGAGGACCAGGAACATCAGGGAACATAGAAAATTTACTAGGGCTGGGATAAATTCTGGAGGGCAGGCAAAGAGTAGTCATGCTTTGACTAGCCAAGAACTGCTGGGAGTTGTAGTCTACTTTTCAAGTATGACTTGACACAGGGTCAGTAAAGTAGGGAAAAAAAGAAAAATTACTGATATTTACAGTTGAGGAAACTAATAATACAACAAATAATCATGTGGATTTCAAGTTACTTCTCTGTGGTGAAATAATTCTTATTTTTTACAAGGAGAACTCAATGCATTTTGGGGTATTTTAATTCTCTTTAACACAACTTTCAATTGTATATATATATCACATGTTTAACATGGAGAATAGTAATACAGTTCTTTGCTATAAATAGCTGATATTCATATCAAGTATACTAGATATTTTAAGTGTATGACTTGACCTAAATTACTTTTAAGGTTTTAGATCCTATTCACTAACAAAATACCAGCTACTTTGTATACTCTGAAGCTTCTGATCTGAGGAATGAGGAAAATTAGAAAGTCTAGATTAGAAGGAGTGTTGGACCAGAAGCTGGTACAGATTATAATAATTAGAAAAACAATAGCTTCTATGACAACTCAAAGTTCTGACAGCATCCTGATAGCATGTTATGAGTGAGTGAAAGTTTTAATCTCTTTGCTTTATTCAGCAAGTATATGACAACAGGCTATGGGAGCTCAAACTGTAACTCTTCTACCCTAATTCTGTACCGAACAAGCATTTTTTGTCCCTAAACCCTTTCCCAAATACACCCTGGTATTTGCTATCCTTTTAATAGTCTGTTGTACATAACCCTTCAGATCTTGAGTTTTAGGTAAACTTAGCATGCAGCATTTTCCAAAATAAATTTAATATCTGTATGCAACAAATTATCTAAATATTGACTATACCAAGATATTCCAACAAATTTTAAAAGGTCTTTACAAAGGGACAGTGGTGAATAATAGACTAGCTAATATCAGTAGGAAACCTGACTAACAAAGAGGTTACATTGAGGAAAGAAGCAAGGGTCACGTAGGGTTTTCAGCTTATCAAATGTACTGAGTGCCTGGGCTGAGGAGAAGCTAGAGCTACTATTTTATCAACTGATTATTCTAAGGAACTCTTAAGAAGAAAGTAAAAAGAAAGTTTTTGGTAATAATGCTATTTATTAGTTATTAGCTCTTATTTTAAATAATAAAAATATGTCTTAAAAAACTGTTCTGATGAAGTGTTTTTCCATTTGAAGGAAATATGAAACTGCTCCATAGGTCAAAATATTTGATTATCTGGTGTATGCTTCAGGAAACTAGGCTTTTAGCATCTTATCATATAGATAGTCCACATAAATATAGTTACTGTGCCACACGTTGACGTTTTGAAGGTCCATAACGGTGAAATTAAGCTGACTTTCTTTAATCAATGAATTATCTGATATTTTTAGAGCCAGCGCATGAGGCACAGCAACCACTCTACTGAGAACTCTCCAATTGAAAGACGAAGTCTGATGGCCTCTGATGAAAATTATCACAATGAAAGGGCCCGGAAGAGCAGGAACCGCTTGTCTTCCAGTTCTCAACACAGCCGAGATCATTACCCTCTTGTGGAAGAAGAGTACTCTGACTCATATCAGGACACTTATAAACCCCATAGGAATCGAGGTTCACCTGGGGGATATAGCCATGATTCCCGACATAGGCTTTGAGTTTAAGAACCTGGGGGGGAGGGGGGATAGTATTCATCAGTTGACAGTTTGCCATAACATAACTAGGACAAACTAATCATCTTAACTTGGCAGGTCAAGCATAGTGTTTGCTGTGCTTATAAGTTGCTGTCATTTGGTGGTAGGTAAAGGGCAAAAAAAAAAAAAGTACATCAAGCCCTAATGTTAGAGGGAAATTAGATGCCCAGTCATATAGTTGTGTTTTTTTTAGTGTGACATTTACATTATAACTACCTTTTCCTTCATTAGGTATTAGACACATCAGTTTGTAATTTAGGGTACTTATCAAGGCACATATAAAATAATTTCCTGTGCTGGAAATTCCAAATGACCAGTTCCAGTTGGAACCAATTTATAAACCAATTCCTGTTGGAATTTGGGTGAATTGACTAGAAAGTCTACTTGAGCATGTTGCAATCAATTGAAAATTTTAAAAAATGCTAATAAAGAAAATCACAATGTTCAATACAAGCCAAAAAAAAAAAAGCTACAGTATTTATTTGCTGGAAGCTAAATTTACACTTAAGGTTGAAATACATAAACATTTTATTATGTGTTAACATTTCCAGAATGGCTTTTTCAAATTTAACCAAATGTAAAATGTTGGTAGTGCCAAAAATCTAAATTAATGCAGCAGTTACACAGTTTTCATAGGATTGAAATTTTTTTTTCTGTTTTCCTGGCACGGCTGTTGCCATCAAAGTATTTTTCTTTATGTTTAGTCACTACCATTATTTTTGTAGAAGTTGGCAATGAAAATTGGTATTTTTTCAGCAGTGGTAAAGAGAATGGCATGAACAAAACAAAGTATTACTGGTACTATGAAATATAAGATGGAGTGTTGTCCTGCCTTTGATCAATCTGAGCACAAATACACATGCCCAGGAATATAATGTGAGCTAGGAAAAAAATGTGACATCCTCTCATTTGCACTTTCTTCTAGGTGGGAATTGATCCATTCCAGTAATCACAAACATAAATTCAGTACTTACCTGCCAGCACAATTGAGTACCTTTCCACTGCATCATCCAGTCTGTCTTTGAATGTCTGATTATCCCAGCCCTATATAAATATTTCTTCATAACCATATTCAGAAGGATTTTTTAAAGTAGTCACTTTCAATTTTGATATTGAAAGCAGTGTTTATACAAAATGATGCTAGTAAATAAATTTTTTGAAATGAATGATCAGATTAAAGAGCTTGCAATAAAAAATAAACAGAATCAGAAATACCTGCTCACTAAAATGATAGTGCTGACATTTTTAATGCACAGAATTATATTATGAAGAATTTGGAAATGATGCTGCCTTATTTCTAAAGAGCACTCCTTTTCACCTACTGAGACTTCACAATTTTTCCAGTGGATACATTTATGTAATTGGGGACCTTGTGTCTTACATTATCAAAGAAGCCTTAGATCCAGTATGATCCAAGAAATTATTGGAACTGACCATTTTATACAACACACCAGTGTCTATAAAGCAAAGAATTATTTCTAAAAGTCCAAAATGCATGCATTTTCTAAAAGCCTGACAGGACCAGGCGTAAAAATCCTTTTATACTGGTTCATGTCATGAAACCTATTTTTGAAAAATGATAATTATTAATTTTATATTATCTTATTTTCTTCCCCAAGCATCTTAATATTTAAGCTATCAAGGTCCATAACAATTAAATAATTTTCCTGACCATGATGATATCTTATATTTTCTGGATCAGTTACAAAAATTTTGACATCCTCTATAATTCCCTTCCCTGTGCCCTTCCCCACCTTCCTTTCTCCTCTTGTTCACTGTGTACATCTCATAATGATCATGGTTAGCTTACAATAAGGATAACTATTAATCATTTAAGTCACTTCGGTCAGTTGATACAACTCAAAAACATTAATAGATATGGCACTGACTTTTAGGGTTGTTTTGCCATCTCTAGAGAAGTATACAGATGATTAGGACCATCAGTAAAGAGACTCAAAAGAGCTGCATCCATTAATAATTGAACAAAGATATAATGTGACATGTTTTTCACTTTAATTCAGAGCATAGAAGAGTATTGTCCAATAATTTAAAATATTTATCACATGTACAGCACTCATACTTGCATGAGAAAGAAAACACTAGGCAAAACATTTTTCTATAAGCTTTACCAGTTTTTGTTTGTGTGCATTAAAATATTCCTTGCAAAAAATACACTGAGATGTATAACTCTAGACTAGACAGCTGTTCAGCTTTATTCTGTAGTAGAATTAGCTATCTGATCACTTAGCTGCTTGAAGATATGTACATTTTATGGCAGGTAGCTACAACAGCATTTATATATATTTTTAGATAAACGAGATGACTATATTATTTCCAATTTTTAAAAGTACTTTATTTTCAAAACCTCTTGAAGTCTTGTTTTTAAGTCTTCCATGTCATGCCAACAAAGAAAGAGGTCCGACATTCAATCATCATGTGTGCACAAAATCAATCATTGTGTCAAGTGCCAATAGTACTTTTGTTTTCCATTTGTAACCCAAAGTGAACAATTTTGGAAAGGGTATAATTTCTTGAATAACCCTGTTTAAATATTTCCTTTAATTTGGTATATTTGTCTCCCTCTGCTTTGTGTATAAGAAGCTTTTTATCTCCAAATGAACAACTTCAGTGATTTTGTGTAAAAATGACACTAAACTAGAGGTTAGACAATGAAATGATTCATTTCTGGAAAGCACTATCATGCACTTTTTAAAAAAAAAACAAACTGCAGACATATTATTGCTTAATTTGAAGAGAGTTCATTTATTTTAAAAATTTACCATTTTAATAAGCCCAGAAAATAATAAGCACTGCAATGTTTGGGGGGCCATTTTTAACTCATTGTTTAGAGTTATAATATATATTAGAACTTCCTCAGTGTCAGCCAGCTGTCTTGTGATATATATATTATGCAGTGGTTTCATGCGACATTGTGGAGTTAATGCAGTCCTGACTGAATAGAGATAATGCCAATTTGCCAATTCTAACATTGAATTTAATGGTTATATGACTATAAAATAAGAGTAAGCAGTCAACTGCTTAACTCCAGTGCATAAAAGCAGCACTTAGATATTTATAAGTGATTAATGGTTATTTGTTACCTTTGTAAATTTTTATTGGGAAAATACTAAGATTGATAATAATTTAGATTCATAGACCATGCTAATATGACAATCTTAACTACATGAGCAAGTTAAGACATTGCACTTAGACCACAGGGAGATATTTTTTTTAATATAGGACAAATTTCTGAGATAATTATTTATTCTCTTCTAATAGGTTTGTTTTGTTTTTGCTTTTTTTTTGGGCAAAATATATTTTTGGAATCTGTTAACCTCTTCTTACCTGCATACTTGAACTTTTGTTGTTGTTGTTGTCGTTACTTTTGGGGAACTTAAAATTCAGGAAGGGGGGGAGGGAGGGACAAGGGGTGCAAGAGGGAGAAAGTCATACCAAAAGTAGGTTTCCAACTTAAAAATCTTAAAAGTGAACATATCATGAAAATTCTATTGAAACCTAGGGCGTATCAGTGAAGAGTACTTCTAGGTAACCTTAATCTGCATGCTAGTAGCATATTCTCTTAGTTATTCAATTTTATTTTGATGTTTGCTGAAAATTAACAAATAAAAATGTGTAGCCTCTAGAGTAATTTGACCTATATATTTATTTATACTACCTCTTCTCTACAGAAGACAGCCTCCCTTGAAGAAAAAAAAAATCTGCCAATAAGTAGTGATGAAATCTTTACTATTGCTAACCTTGCTGCAAAGTGAAATTCATTTCATATGCTTAGTTCTGTTTTCCTTTAAGTCTTGAAGTTTTGTTTCCAACTAGCTCCTTTCATTCCTTCCTCCCTAAGGTACTTTGCATCCAGTAAAAGGTTATCCTCAGACTCAAGATCATCTTGATAAACAAGTCATCATAGGAAGGGGGGCAGGGAAACCCTGATTAGATAGTTTTGTCTTGTGTAATTTGTGCAATTACTGGACTGCTCCCCCCAAAAAAGAGAAGTTTTTGCATTCTAAATCTTTATGTTGTGCTTGATTACAAATTCAGAGCTTTCTGGACCTTTTACTGCTCTTATTGACATTTAGAGCATATATTAACCATTTACTGTGTAAGGCTTTGCATAATCTTGGGTTGCCCATTTTATCAAAAGGCTACATATATACAGAAACTTTCCAGAATAAATTATATGTGTTTCTTAACCTTTTTAAAATTTGCTTTTAAATTTCATGACCGTGTTGCATGTGGTTCTTCATTTTCTGTTTTTGAATCATCTAGGACTCAACTATAAATGACTTATGAATGAAAACTCTTGTGTGATTGTAATTTGTTTCATTAGTTCTTTATGCCTTTTAAGTAGTATGAGCACTTTAAAACATTGCTAGTACTGCTACTGCTAGTAATCCAGATATTTCACTCAGGCTGTGTTTATATGCACAGGCCAATGTGACCCTTTTGACTAACTTAAACAACCAAAAGAATTGAAGAGTCAATGTAACAATTGCCAAATGACCATTTTGACTTTTTGTTTTTTAATGACCTGAGTCAGTCAAAACAGTAAAATTGGTTTGTGTACACTGACAAAGCCACCACATCTTTAAAATGCATAATTATTTTGGAAAATGTTCTTCTTTTATTGGAATACTTTTTCTCAAAGAAAATACACCTTACTGTAGCTATCCATTTAGTCTTCTTGTTGCTTATTTTACAACAAATACTTTGTTTTTTTGAAAAGGGACATTTTGGTAGTAGAATAGAAAATACATCATCAAATGAACTTGTATGAAGGGCTGTATACTCTATTTGCAATGAAAATCATATAAATAAGATTGAATCACAGTAGTTTTTTTCTGATTTGGGAGACATATTTACATGTATGAAACTTTAGCTTTGCTTCTTTTGACCTACATGGAGGGGGAAAGTATAGTAGAAAACTTTTTAAAATGTATTTACTGTGATTGAGGATATATTTGGTGGTTCCTTTCTTAAAACTTAGAAAGAGTTACAGTGAGACTGTCCATAGAAACAAGAGGTTGGTCTCTAGCTTTACAATACTTTGGAAGTGTTCTTGGTCTACTTCAAGCACTTAAATTTTTCAACTAATGGCTACTAAATATACTTGTTTAGGGCCTAGTCCTGATACTTACATGCCATTTACACACAAAACTCTTACTGAAATCAGTCAGAGTTCTGTATGAATGAGGGATGTATTAGAGACGCAGGATCATTAATGCTATGTTGTTGCATACTGTTTTTCATATGCCTTACAAATATTTTCTGGGACATTATTAAAAGAATAACATTTTATTGCCAAAATAAACCTTCGTTATTACTTCTAATCTGTATTAGCACTAGAAAATCAAGTTATGTAGCAAATACATATATTGTACAGTACAAAATCATAAAATATATATTTTGCCAATAATATGAAAATAGAGCAAGGAGAAAGAAGCACATTTGTTATAGCACAAATTTACAACAAAATCCATTGTTACATTTGGCAATTGTATTTTTGAAAAAGCATATAGATTTAGTTCTAAAATTTCATTGAACTTCATTTGCCATCATTTGCTGCCTGCTACATTTCCAGCAATTAATTTCATAGCCTTGCAATCTGTGGATGTAAATGATTTTATTCTCTGAAATTTTATTCCCTTCTATGGAAACATAATTTATTTTGTGATAAGACAGCATATAATATTCACCATTCTTATTTCTTTTCCACTAATAGTAAATTTTAAGTGCAGGTGAGCTCTTAATTAGTGCTCATATGTATTTTTGGTATGCTTAAGTAATTTAACTTTCCTAGCCCAAGGTCTGAATGATCAATAAAAATGTCCTAACAATGAAATAGTATTTAGGTATTCTTTAATTTATCTTGCCTCTCAGTGCAGCTTTATTTGGAAAACACAATTTAAACCTCATTAGCTATTTTGAAGAGAAAAGGTAAAAACTTAAATATTCAAAGATATCACCATAAATGCAGTACAATTATATAAAAACTACTCCCCCACCTCTAGGCCTTGGACTGTTTATCTCCCAGGCTATTGCCACATCTCCTCTTCTGTGGTTAAAAATTAATATATATATATATTGCCTTTACTAAACCAAAAGAGTTATAAATATTTCTTTTCTTATCATTTTATTTTTAGATTAATTTATCCCTTCCTGTTTTTACTTCTATAGATATGTGTAGCATTCTACAAGGCATGCTGGGTAAAATATACTATGCAAATGTGTACAGTGTTGCATGTTTTGCTCTCCCTCTGCTTTAGTGGCTTTAAAGGAAAAAAAAATGTGTTATTTTTGTGAACAGAAACATTTATCAGAGAAAATGCAGACTGCATGCTTACAGTATCCTAATTTCTATGGATTTGTTTTATGGAATTTAGATGTGTATAAATCAACTGCATTAAAAAATTTCTTTTCTATAATAAATGAAAAAAAAACATCCAAAATAGTGTTTTACTTTGACTTTTTGTGCAATTGTCCACTGGTAATTATTACAGGTTCTTCTGAAGCATTGGTAGCATCATGGAAAAAAAAATCCACTAAAATTCTGAGAATAAATTGGAGCTTAAAAATTTAAATTAGGAAAAATGTATTAAGCTATTGGTATAAAATGCCAAATTAGTCAATTGAAAAATGAATAATTATTAATAAACCTGTTTTGTTTATGCACCAACAGACTGTACAAAGCACTTAGCACATTCCCTCGTATATATTATACAAATAATAGAATTGTTGAAAGAGAAGTTCGAAATCATCTAGACTAACACAGTTATTCAATAAACATGCAATTAAATTGATTTAACCAATCTTCTTTATGAGTTTGCTGAAATATTTTGGCAAAATTTTAATACCAGTTGTTCTAGTGTTGAATGAAGTTTGGGGCAAGATTTTGAACATCAGTTGTTCTAGTCTTTTATATGCATAAATGAAGCATTTGAAAAAGGTTTGTTAATATTGTTAATGATATTGGGAAAGGCTTAAATCCATTGGGAAATATCCTCTTGTATATTTTAAGTATTAAATTAAGTATTTACTGAACTGCTTTATGGGGGATGGGGAGTGAGAAGCAGGTATAAACAAAAGAAAAACACTTCCATATAGTACAGTTTCTTATATATAGTACAATAGATACTCGATAAAACCTTATTGAATTGAACTGAATTGCAGAACCTCAGAGCTTAAGGAAACCTCAAAGGCAATTTAGTTTTCAACTTATACTGAATAAGAATCCTCTCTACAACTTCTCTGTCAAGTGATCATCAAGGCCCTGTTTGATGATAGGGAATCCAATGGGACCTAAGGCAGCCCATTCTAGCCCTTAGCTTTTAAAAGGTTTTTCCCTACCTCAACAAAGCCAAAATCTGCCTCCCTGCAACTTACACTTCTAGTTCTACACCTCTGGGACCAAGCAAAATAACCAAATAACCCATCACATGCTATGCAACAACTATCATGTCACCCAACCCCAACCTTTTGTCCTCTCTCCAGGCCTCTCCATCAACCAATTCTTGTATGGTATGGTCTCCAGCCCTATAACAATTCTGACTGCCCTCTTCTGGACATACTCCAGTCTGTTAACGTCCTTTCCCCAAAATAAATTAATTGTCCTCTAGAATATGACATGTACCCTCAGGGAGGTTATAGATTTCTTCTGGATAATAAATATACATGAAACAGAAATCAACAAAATGTAATTGATGGGCTAAAAGTTCTAGGAAAATATTACAATCCACATGATACATAGTAAGCACTTGATAAATGCTTGTTGACTAACACTGCCAAAGAAGTTAAAGAAAAGTATTATGTTCCATGTTCTAATTTTCTTGTAATATCCCTCTTTATATCTAATCATGTATCCATTTTGGCCTTACCTTGGTAAATGGTGTGTAAGATATTGGTCTATGCCCAGTTTCTGCCATATTGTTTTCCAGTTTTCCCAACAATTTTTACCAAATAATAAATTCTTATCCCAAAATCTTAAGTTTTACATTTCTCAAATACAAGGTTCCTATATTTATTTTTTGATGTAAATTGTATGTCTACTCTGTTCCATTGATCTGCCTTTCTATTTCTTACCCAGTATCAGATAGTTTTGATAATTACTGCCTTATAATATAGTTTAAGATCTAGTATTGCTAAACTTCCTTCCTTCACATTTTTTCATTAGTTCCTTTGATATCCTTGACTTTTTGTTGTTCCAAATGAATTTTGTTACTATTTTTTTCTAATTCAGTAAAATAATTTTTGGTAATTTAATTGGGATAGTGTTGAATATATAAATTAGTTTAGGTTAAATTGTCATTTTTATTATATTGGCTCTGCCTACCCATGAACAATTAATATCCCTCCAATTATTTAATCTGATTTTATTTGTATAAAAAGCTTTTTTTATAATTTTGTTTATATAGTTCCTGGGTTGGTTTTGGCAAGTATACTCTCAGGTATTTTATACTGTCTAGAGTTATTTTAAATGGGGCATCTTTTACTATCTCTTCTTGCAGGGTTTTGTTTGTGATGTATAGAACTGCTGATGATTTATGTGGATTCACTTTATATCCTGCTACTTTACTAAAATTATTGTTTCAACTAACTTTTTAGTTCAGTCTGGGATTTTCCAAGTATATCATCATATCATCTGCAAAAAGAGAGATAGTTTTATTATCTTATTCCCTATTTTGATTCTGTCTATTTCTTTTTCTTCTCATTGCCATTGCTAGGATTTCCAATACAATATTAAATAATATTAGTGACAGAAGACATCCTTGTTTCACATCTGATCTTACTGGGAAGGCAACTATCATAAATATACAGGAGTGAGCCAGGTTCCTATGCTCCTATACTTTTTCTGATATTGCCCTATGTCATTTTTACCAGTCACTGTGTTGCTTTGGACATCCTTTGATTTTCTTAATTAATGAAATACTTGAATCATATTAATAAGATTTTGACCAGAAGGGGACCTATGATAAAGTTTTAAATCTTTTCTCCGCAATTTGTACTGTAGTTAAGTTCCTGTTAAACTCAGTAGTCACATTATTACCAATAATGCCTTCTATTTATATAACAACTTAGTTTTCAAAGTACTTTCACATGTGTTATGTCATTTTATATTTACAATACCCTCTTAGGCAAATAATAACAATTATTTCCTCCATTTGACAGATAAGAAAAAGGAGACTAAGGAGAAGTTAAGAGCATAATGCCTGGCACATAGTAGGCTCTTAAATGTTTATTAATTGACTCATCATTATATTATGGCTTTTCTTTCCAATGTATCTGGTTGAAGCAAAGCAAAATTCTAAGCTAAATTGCCAAATATGTGAAATTTTTACAGTTTATGCCTTTATGACATCATACATATATATATATACATATATACACATACATAAACACACATATATACATGTATATACACCCACTCTAATTCAGGCCCTCATCATCTCTGTCCTGGCTTATTGCAAGAACATTCTAATTGGTCTCCCTGCTCCAATCCATCATCCACTTAGCTGCCAAGGTGATTTTTCTAAAGCACAGGTCTAACTATGTCACCTCCCCCTCGATAAACTTTTGTTGTTGTTCAATCATGTTTCAGTCTTATCTAACTCTTCTTGAATTGTTTCCTATTATCTCCAGGATCAAATATAAGCTCCTCTGTTTTACATTCATAGCTCTTCATAACCTAGCCCTGCCTTTCCAGTCTTCTCGCCTTTACTCCCCTGCACACAACCTGTAAAATATAGCTACATTGCCTTACCTGCAGCTCCTCAGATATGATTTTCCATCTTAGGTCTCCTTGCCTTTGCATTAGTTGTCCCCCTGTAATACTCTGGCCCTTGCATTTGCCACCTGGTTTCACTGGCTTCCCTTAATTAAATTCTCCTCAAGATCTACCTTCTCCAGGAGGCTTTTCCTGGTCATCCCAGCTACTGCTGTCTTCCCCTCTGAGACTGCTTTCCATATACTCTGTTTACATCTCATATATACCTAGCACATTTTCTCTCCAATAGTATGTGAACTCCCTTAGGTCTGAAACTTTTTTGTTTTTTGGATATCTAGCATTTGGCATAGTGCCTGCCACACGGTAGCTAATAAATTCTTACCAACAGCTGTCCTCCATGCACTCTAAGATCCAGTCACATTGGCTTGTTTATTCCTTATACACAACACCACATCTTTCATCTCTGTGGATTTGTACTGTCTGTCCTCCATGCCTGGAACACTCTCCTTCCTCATCTCCACCTCTAAGAATCCCTGGCTTCCTTTAAGATTCAACTCAAATATCACCTTCTGTGAAAGACCTTTGCTAGACCTCAAAGATGCTAGTACCTTTGAAGCCCTCTGAGATTACTTTCCATCTGCTCTGTATATATCTTATATGTAGTTATTTTCATGATTGTCTTTCCCGTTAGAATGTAAGCTCCTTGAGGACAGCAATTTTTTTTTTGCCTTTCTTTGTCTTCCCAGCAATTAGCGCTCTGCCTATCACATAGTAAACCTTACTGAATGTTTGTTGACTATTACGAAACAGTTTTTAATCAGTTACTCAGAGAGTACCATCTAAAGTTGGCCTCTACTAAGCCAGATTCTACATCTCTCTTTTAGTAAAATAGGGTGTACTTTGAATCAGACATAAACCAAACTGAATTACAAACTTCATACTAGAACAAATTGCACTAGTTCCCTCTTCCAGCTGTTGCTACAGCCAAGGCCTCTACATGAAATCTGTACATTGAGTAAAGAGGAGGTCAATTAAAAAAATACGTTTTCTGTAATGGGGACAGACTAGAAGCATTTCCAATAAGATAGGGGGTGAAACAAGGATGTCCATTATCACCACTGTTATTCAATATTGTACTGGAAATGTTAGCTTTAGCAATAAGAGAAGAAAAAGAAATTGAAGGCATTAGAATAGGCAAAGAAGAAATAAAGCTATCACTCTTTGCAGATGACATGATGATATACTTAGAGAATCCTAGAGAATCAAGTAAAAAACTACTTGAAATAATAAACAACTTTAGCAGAGTTGCAGGCTATAAAATAAACCCACATAAATAGTCAGCATTTCTATATATTACCAACAAAGCCCAACAGCAAGAGATAGAAAGAGAAATCCCATTTAAACTTACTGTAGACATTATAAAATATTTAGGAGTCTACCTCCGAAACAAACCCAGGAACTCTATGAACACAATTACAAAACACTTTTCACACAAATAAAATCAGATCTAAATAATTGGAAAAACATAAGTTGCTCATGGGTAGGCCGAGCTAATATAATAAAAATGACAATCCTACCTAAGCTAATTTACTTATTCAGTGCCATACCAATCAAACTACCAAAAAATTATTTTATAGAGTTAGAAAAAATAATAACAAGATTCATTTGGAAAAACAAAAGGCCAGAATATCAAAGGAACTAATGAAAAGAAATGCAGGGGAAGGTGGC